TTTATCCTCTCCTCTCCCATGCCCCCCTGCCTGCTCTCCCTCCTTCTTCTTCTTCCCTCCTCCTATCCCCTATTCCGTTCTCCCTCACCTCTTTCCTCCATCCCCTCCTGCCCTTCACCCTCCTTCCTTTCCTTCCCTCCCCCTATCCCCTATTCCGTTCTCCCTCACCACCTTCCCTGCCCCTATCCCTTTCTCCCCCTCCTCCCTCCCTCCCCCCCCTCCTCCTCCTCCGCCGCGCGCCGCAGGACACTCAGGAGGAGCCCAGTGTTCACGAGGCCAGTGTCCGGTGCTCACGTCCCCTGTGGAGTTCACGGCCGCGCTGGAGAGTGAGAGGGACAATCGGGACCTTAAGGGGAAGAGAAGGAAGAGAGAAGAAGGAGGGAAGGAGGAAGAGAGTGCGATCGGGGAAAGGATACTCGGTCGAATCGCGGGAAAGGAATAGTTGGTGCGAATAATCCGATTTCTGGTGTTTATTTTTTTAAAGTGTGTGAAGCGACTTCGTTCAACAGAAAATAAGGAAGAGAAAGAGAGATAGAGAGGGAGAAGGAGACAAACAAACGTGCTTTCGGTCCTCGTGGTCGGGTGTGGAAACGAAGGAAAATTCTGATTACGGATTTCGATTCGGCTCACTGCCTCCTAAGGTTTCTTCTCGGACTCCCTTTCGTGCCTTTCTTTCGCGAATCGTTTATCTCCGTCTCTGTCTTCGCCTCCATCTCCGTCTCCTTGCAACGCGGCGACCGACCCGACGGCGGAGATGACGGAGCGGCAGAACAGCACGGGCTCCACGGTGTCCTTCGGGGCCGTGCAGGACACCATAGGTAATGGGGCGCTGTGCTTTCGGTTCCTGGGGGAGTAGGGGCGGGAGAGGGTCTGTCTGGGAGCGATGAGGACGGAGGGAAGAGGAAGGGAGGGGGAAGGGGAAATGAGGGAGGGGAGGGAGGAGGAAGGGAGGGAGGAGGAAGATGGAGGGAGGGAAGGAAGGAGGAAGGAGGGGGAAGGAGAAGATAGAGGGAGGGGAGGGAAGGAGGAAGGGAGGGGGAAGGGAAGATAGAGGGGGAGGGAGGGAAGGAGGAAGGGAGATGGGGAGGGTGGAGAGAAGGAACGGGAAGAAGCAGGTTTTAGGATGGGTCTTTTGTGACCTGTCCTTGTCTTGTGTTTTGTTATTATTGTTATTCGTGTTTTTTTAATTATTAGGGATTTGTTTCTCGGATTTGCGTTTTTACCTTTTTTATTGGTATACTTTACGTCTTTTGCTTGGTGTTCTTTTATTTCCTCGCTTTCAGTAATTCCTTCCGTCCTTTTCTTACTCTCTACAGTTTTCTCCCGAATCCTTATCTTCTTTTCCCATTCCCTTTCCCTCCCTTCACATTCACCTCCACCAATACCATCCACATCTTCCTTTGGGTTCTCTGCATTTGTCACCTCCTACTCTCTTCGCAATGACACGTTTGTGAAGGAGGAGACGAGGTGCAGACAGGAACGAGAGAGCAAGGAGGGGGGAGTGGAGAGGGAGGAAGGGGAGGAGGCTGGGGACTGGAAGGAGGGGGCAGGAGAGGGAGGAGGCGGAGGGGGTTGGGACTAGGAGGAGGGGAGGAAGGAGGAAGGGAAGAGGGCGGGGGGGGGGGGCCGTGCAGTGCCCGCGGAGGGAAAGTTGCAGTACCCGTCGTGCAGGTTTGGGCACAGGGCTGACTGTGCACTCGGCCAGACACATGATGCGGCGCATAATCATGCGGTTCCACGATACTGAAGGGTTTGGGCAAAGTGAATAATGTGTTGATGGCGGTAACTGGGAGGAGGATTTTGAGGAAACGAGGAGGAGCGGTGCTCTCGAGGCACTGTTGGTACCACGCATGCACCCGTATACACACACGCGCATTTCGTGCAGGTAGCAGTGTGTGTGTGTGTGTGTGTGTGTGTGTGTGTGTGTGTGTGTGTGTGTGTGACAGACAGACAGGCAGACAGGCAGGCAGGCAGGCAGGCAGGCAGGCAGGCAGGCAGGCAGGCAGGCAGGCAGCAGCAGGCAGGCAGGCAGGCAGGCAGCACACACGCGCGCTCAACACACACCACGCGCACGCGCAGCACACACGCACACGCACACGCACACGCACACGCACACGCACACGCACACGCACACGCACACGCACACACACACACACACACACACACACACACACACACACACACACACACACACACACACACACCAACACACAACACACACACACACACAACACAACACAACACACAAACACAAACACACACCGATACATAGACCATGCCCACGTGGGGCAAAATAAATCACCGACTGAAGACGAGAAGAGGAAAAATGAAAGCATGAACGAAAGGCCAGCGAGAGGAAAGATCCGGGGCTCGACCATCACGCGGGGTGCCGGGTCCTTTCTCAAGAGGCGTGACGTTGCCGGTGCACGGACGCACGGGGGGGGGGGGGGGGGGGGGTAGAGAGCTCTCTGTCTCGATCTCTGTCTGTCTGTCTCTGTCTCTCTCTCTCTCTCTCTCTCTGCCTCTTCTGGGCGGGGTGGCGCGGTCCTTTCTCAAAGGAGGCGTGACGTTGCCAAGGTGCTAAAGACGGCCGCATGTCAAAGCTCGGGGGGGGGGGTAGAGGCCTCCTCTGTCTCGAATCTCTGTCTGTCTTCTGTCTCTGCTCTCTCTGCCGCTCTTGTCCTCTCTCTAAGTACGATCTCTCCTTGCCTACTGTCTCTCTCCTCTTTCTCTCTCTCTCTCACTCTTCTCTTCTCTCCGAATCCAAATCTTCTCTTCACTCGGCTCTCTCTCTTTCCATCCTCTCACTCTTAGATCACATCCTTGGTATCTAGGTGATACTGTACGTCCTCCCTGTCGCAGCTCCCATCATCTCAAAAATGGGTTGGTTGGCTCTCCTTTCTCCTTCCTCTCATTTCTTCACTCCCTCGCATCTCATTATCTCGTACCCACTTCTTTCTCTATGATCATCTCGTCGCTTATGCATTCTCATCAAAGAATCCATCTCCATCATCTCTTCTGAATCCTTCTCTCTGAGGTGACTCGGCACAGGTTCTCGCTCCTAATCATAATATCGATTCATCCATTCTCGTGATCTTCCCGCTCTTCTCATCCTCTTTCCACTCTGTAGGCACTCGTCGTTCTCCAGGTGGTCTCTCATTCATCGACTTAAATCTCTCTTTATCATCTGCCATTTATTTCTATGATGTAGCGCTGTCCATCTCTCTCGTATATCCTGCTCTGTCTCTCTCTCTCTCTTGCACTATCATCTCATCTCGCTCATCCATCACTCTTCGATAATCTCTCGTCTATCTCAGCTTCCTGAATCTTCTCTACGTCAGTCACTCTCTCTCTTCTCTGTTTACGCCCAGTTCTCTCTCCTCTCTATCGATCATCGCCTTTCATAGAAGCCTCATCCTCGATCTCCCTCGGTCTCTTGTCAAGCCTTCTCTTCGCCGTCCTCTGCTCTGTCCTCTCCTTCCTCTCTTTTCCATCTTCCTCAATCTGACCGATCACGGAACTTGTGTCAGCTCGTCTCATTATCTTTTTCTTCAAGTTGCTCTTCTCTCTAAAATTCATTTACAACGCGTCAATCAGATTCTCTTCATCTTCTAGTTCTCATCTCTATCCATGTCTCTTTCGATATGAGCTATGCACCATTAAAAGATTCCTCGTACCTCTAGGTTCTCTCATTAATGTAATCTTCTTCTCATCGTCATCTCATCTTTCCCCTCTGCTGTGTGTGTGTCCTCTGGCATCGCAACTTTCAGTCACGTGTCTCAGTTTCCTCTCTCCCGTCCCCGCACGTTGACTCCTTGGGAACAATTAGTCACTCCCCTGAAAGATAGACACCAACTCCACTAAGACGCTCCTTCTGCCCATCGTATATCTCTCGTCTCCCTCCGCCTACACCCACTCTTCCCTCGCCACCCACCCTTCGCTCCTTCGCCTGATGCTTAAGCGAGGGCACCAAGAATTGTATAAACCACCGTCGTATCACCTGTTGCCGTCTGTGCTGCTTGGGCCGCTATGTGAAGAATTTGGTGTTTGTTTAATGGCTTTGTTTGTTGTTTTGCTTTTTTTTTGTTTGTTGTTATTTGTGTGGTTTGTGAGTGAGTGTGTGGGTGCGTTGTGGCGTGTGCGTGTGCGTGTGCGTGTGCGTGTGCGTGTGCGTGTTGTGTGTGTGTGGTGTGTGTGTGTGTGTGTGTGTGTGTGTGTGGTGTGTGTGTGTGTGTGTGTGTGTGTGTGTGTGCTTGTGTATGTGTTCTGTTTGTGTGTGTGTGTGCTTGTTGTGTGTGTGTGTGTGTGTGTGTGTGTGTGTGTGTTGTGTGTGTGTGTCTGTATATGTGTATATGTGTGTGTGTCTGTTTGCATATATTTATGTATGCATATATGTACGTGCGTACATCTATATACATTTTTATATTTACAGCCTTAACCCCCCCCCCCCCACATCACGTTTCAGCGAAAATTCCCGCCAAAAAAATGAATGGAAAGGTTTACTGTCTGAAATGGCTGGTCCTTGGCTTCGTGCTCCGCTCCTAGGGGTCAGCAGCTATCGAAATCTTGTGCAATAATGTGCCTTATGGTGCAGAGTCAAGAGGTGCTTCTTTGTCTTTGTTATTTCTCTGGGATAGAGAAATTCGATGTCTTTTCTCTTTTATCAAATGCATCTCTATTTTTTTTTTTTTTTGTAACACTAGCAAATTATGTCACTGATACTTTCTGGTATGCGTTTGGTGACTGCATTGGTATTAATTGATGACATTCTTTATTTTTGCATTATTAGATACATGAATAATTAGATTGTTTGTGTTTACAAGCAAGTGTGTATGTGTGTATGTATTTGCATGTGTGTATATGTGAACATATTTTTTTCTGTATGTGTACGAGTCCATTTGTGCGTAGTATATGTACGAGTTTGCAAATGCATGTGCAAGAGAGGCGCCGTGTTTGTCAAGAGGGAAGACTAATGTGAACGTGTTTGGTATTTTTTCCAGACGCTCTCCTGGCGGACCTGCAGAACACCATCACCCCCGCCACCTCGGCGCCCACCACACCACACCCCGCCCACAACGGTGTCGGAACGCCCTCGCCCACGCCCTCCCAACAGCACCCTCAGCCACAGCCAGCACCACCCGTCGCCGCACAAGGTAAGCCGCGGGGGTCGAGGGCCAGGGTGGGACGGGCGCTTCGGAAGGGCCTTGCGTCAGGCGGGATTTCCCTCGCGATTAGCCGGCGGGGAGCGCTGGCCGGCGGCGCAGGACGCGCGGTGTGGACGCCTGTAATTCGTTCAGATTCTCGATGTTATGTAGAAGCCGGGAAGAGTCCGTAGGAGAACGTTGTGTAGGGGCACTTTGTTATTAGAGATGCGTCTGCGTATGGTGATGGGCAAATACATTATACATGCGCGCATTAACATGGAGCCGACCGGTATGCTGAAGGGGGTCAAGAACGCGGCTGCCTTGGCGCATCTAGGACTCCCGTGGACAGTAATGAGGCAAGCAGGCAGACATGCACAGGGCAATAATTAAATAAGCATGCAGGCAGGCAGAAAATGCATGCCACTGAGGAAAGGCATTGGAGACGGTCCGGTACATATATGGTTCATGATGCTTCTTTTCAACGTTTAATGCAGGCACTCCGTCTTTTTTTTTTCACGGAATTTCTTGTTCATGAAGCTTATCAAAAACGGGTAAATAAACCGTGGGAAAAGGTTATTGTGGGACGTGTTTGTATTCTCCGCCTTCTAAAGCCTGCGCATCCTTTTATGTACTTTCGTCAAAACAGCTTCTGAACGTCAGAATGCAAAATGTCTGGTAATTTATCAGTGCAAATATGGTTGTTGAATTAATTACAGTAAGCGCTTTGGATAGCCGAAATAATTTTAAATGAAAGTTTAATATTGTTTCAAATGTAGATTTTTATGGTGTGCTCCTCGCCCAGAATTTCGCCTTGACGAGGACGAGCGGGATGTTTCGCCCCGAGATTCAGTTAAATTGGGGCAAAGTGCGACGCATCCAAGGGCCCCGAATTATACGAAGTTGGTGTAACTTTCAAAGGCAGACGAACAACAAGGTCGTGGAAATTGAACGTTATACGTAAAGATAGATGTATAATGTAGTGATATGAAATAGTAATATGCTCTTGGGCAAGCTGGGCGAGACAGCGATGATTAAGATGATTAATGAGCGTAGGATTAAACGAAGTTGTAGAGCCATAAACAGACACACAGACAGCAGCCCAGACAGCGAGAGACAGACCGACAGACCCCGTCGGACAGCTCACACACCCCGCCAGACTCAACATGGACACCGACCTGCCTGGCTGCATAGCGAGTATAGGCATAGCGGCGATAAGAGCGCACATATAGAGAAGACACTCAACTGCGGTGAGTGCGTCAGATACGAGAGCGACTGACGCATGCGGTCTTGCGGTCGCCTCGCGTTGCGTTTCATCGGAGTGCGGCGGGAAGGGAAGGGAAGGGAAGGGAAGCAAGAAGGGAAAGGGCTGGGGGGAAAGGGCTGGGGCACAGATACAGCGCTGCGGTCAAGCGACGGTTACTCTATATGGGATGGTTTTGTGCGGATCGTTGCTCGCGAGTCGATTTGGGAGAACTGCGGTCGGGATGCGGGCGGCCGATCTGGCTGATGCTCCGCGAGGGGGGGGGGGGAGGCGGAGGTCAGGGAGATCAAATGGAATTGGATAAAGACGAAGGTTAAAGGGAAGGGAGAGGGAAATAAAGGAAGTGGAGAGTTAAAGTAAAATGAAATATGATATAGATATATGATAAAGCGAAGTTAAAGGGGGATAGCTATGATAAAGGGAGAGATAAAGGGCATAAATGTGATACAGGAAACGGGAAGGGGAGACAAAAGGAATTATGTGAAAATGAAGAGTAAAGGGAAGGCAAATTGGGATAGAAGTGGTAAAAGGAAGGAACGAGATCAGACAAAAAGGAAATATAAAGATAGAGGATAAAAGGGAAAAGCTGAATAGAGATGGACAAAAACGAGACGAAATGAAACAGGGAATCTTAAGTACTCAAACCTGCATCTAATACAGATCGTCTAAGAGGAGTTTCTAAGTATGACGTAAGTGACTTATACAAAGGATGAATTTTCCAGATATTCAAAAGCTTAAACCTTTTCCCTGAAATGTAGAAAGATTTAGGGATGTAAACCATCGTGTCTCATTATAAAACAATCAAACAAACTTTGAAACAAACAAATAAACAAACATCATGTGAAGCTTGTTGTTGTGGCCCTTTAAATCAAGATGAGTAGTAAGTGACCTTATTTGACCTTGCGTATATGTCATGGTTTGTGAAAATGTTTTTTTTCTCTCATTCTCTGTCTTATTGTTGAAGGTGGTGATGATTGATGGTAGATTGTTGTTATTATTGTCATTACTAGTATTATTGTTGTTATAATCGTTCGTCTTTGGTTGCTGTATTGATGTTATTTTTGTTGTTAATTATTGTTTGTTATATTGTGTCGTGTTTGTTTTTGTTTTAATGTTAGTTTTATTTGTTGTGTATATTTATTGTTTTTTTTTTCTTGTTCGTTCTTCGTTTGTTGTTGCTTTATTTTTTTTTGTTTGTTTATTGTTGTTATTACGAGTTTTGTTGTTATCATAACTATCGTCGTCGTTGTTGTTGTTATTGGTGTCATCGTCGTCATCGGTTGTTGTTTATTTTTTCTGCTATCGTCATTATTGTTATTTGTATTGCTAATGCAGATAGTGCTAGACCTGCTATTGTTATTATTTTCTAAATTAATTTTCCTCGAGATAAGCCAACACAGACTCAGTTGTCAAACAGTGCTCTCCTTTTTCGCGTTTAAGACTTCTCATCAATATCCATGGGCGCGTGACATCAGCTGAACACCTTACCATGACTCTGCCCTCGCCGCGTTCATCCCTTTAATGTGACGTATGAGCATCATGACCCCCCCCCCCGGCATGGCTGAGTGGCGAATGACGGTTTGTGATGTCTCATAGATTCAACATTGTTATGTCAACAAGGCCTGGGTCGTTGTGTCACGCCGCGCTTCTTTTTGTTTCAGGCGCCGGGGTGGATTGGCATGTGACTTCATTGGCGATTGTTTGAATTGTGATGTCAGCGCTGGGACAGTGGCGAGGGGGTGGGGGTTGGGGGAGGGGGAATGGGTGGGTGTGTGTTTTGATTACGCTTTGTGTGTGTGGTGTGTGCGTGCGTGTGCGTGCGTGCGTGCGTGCGTGCGTGAGTGTGTGTGTTTGTATGCATGTATGTATGTATGTATGTATGTATTTGTGTATGCAGTCTGTCTGCCTGCCTCTCTGTCTGTCTGTCTGTCTGTCTGTCCGTGTACCAGTTTGTATATCTGAGTGTGTCTGTCTGTTATGCGATGCAAAGAAATGCTTTATGTTTAGCGAGGAGAACGTAGCACAAAACAAGAGGAAATTTATTAGAGCTAATTCTGTCAGAGCGCCCCAGCCAACGACCCCTTCGCCGCGTGGGGAATGTGCGCCGCCTCCAGCCTCCCACCCACTTTCCTCCTCCTCCCTCCTCCTCCTCCTCCTTCTGCTTCCCTCTTCTACGTCTTTTTCTTATTATTATTTTTCATGTCCTTTCTCTCCTTCTCCTTCTTCTTTTACACACTTTCTCCTTCTTTCATCTCCTTCTCCTCCTGCTTCTCCTCCTCCTCCTTCCTCTGCGTCTTTTCTTATTATTATTCATGTTCTTTCTCTTCTTCTCCTTCCTTTTACACTTTCTCTCTTATCTCCTTTTCCTCTCCTCCTCCTCCTCCTCCTCTCCTCTCTCTCCCCTTCCTCCTCCTCCTCCTCCTCCTTCTCTCTCTCTCTCCTCCTCCTCCTCCTCCTCCTCTCCTCCTCCTCCTCCTCCTCCTCCTCCTCCTCCTCCTCCTCCTCCTCCTCCTCCTCCTCCTCCTTCCGCATCAAAAGCACCTGCTTGCTTACCCTCCACTCCCTTGTGAGGCTTTGGTACAGTTATTTCCTGTAACCTTGTACTGCCTGGGGCGGGAGAGTGCGTAGTATGAGCCTCTTGTGCTTGCCCGTCCCCCTCTCCCTTTTCCCCTTTTCTCCTCCCTCCTCCTTCCTCTCCCTCTTCCACCTCTCCCTTCCTTGCACCTCTCCCTTCTCTTCATCCTCTCCCCCTCTCCCTCTCCCTTCTACCTCCTCTCCCCAGCCCCCTCCCTACCTGCTTTCCTCCTCTCCCCACTCTCCAATCCCCTCCTCCTTGCTCTCCCTCCTCTCGCCCTCTTCTCTCACTTCTTTCTTTCCTCTCCACTTTCCCCTCTCCCTCCTTTCTCTTTTCCCCTCCTCGTGGTGTGATTATGTGGTCGTTGGGGGCTGCCTGTCTGCTTTCCTCTGCTCTCCTTCTTCTCTTCCTTTTTCTTTTCCTCCCCCTCCCTCTCCTCCTCCCTCCTCCCCTCCTCCTCCCTCCTCCTCCTCCCTCCTCCCTCCTCCCTCCCCCTCCTCCTCCTCTCTCTCCTTCCTCCTCCTCCTCCTCCTCCTCCTCCTCCTCCTCCTCCTCTCCTCCTCCTCCTCCTCCTCCTCCTCCTCCTCCTCCTGCTTGCTTGCCTGCTTGCCTGTGTGTTCCCCCCCTCGCTACTTGCTTACTGACCATGACTGTGACCTTGGAATTGTTAATGAGTCGGCCGCCGCTCCTCCCTGCGTCGGATGCTCACGCTGGTGGTGGTTGTCGGTCTCGTTTGGTTGGCCTCGCTCCTGCCGCTTCTCTTCTTTCTCGCTTTCCTTTGTCTTTCGCTTTTCTTTTTTTGCTTTTTTGCTTTCTTTCTCCTTTGATTAAGTTAGCTCTCTCGCTTTGTTTTGCGTTCTCTTTCTTTTTCTTTCGCTTTTCCTTTCTTTCTCTCGCTTTGTTATTCTTTCTCTCTCTGTCTCGCCCTTTCTCTCTCTCTCTCCTCTCTCTCTCGGTCTCTCTCTCTCTCTCTCTCTCTCTCTCTCTCTCTCTCTCTCTCCTCTCTCTCTCTCTCTCTCTCTCTCTCTCTCTCTCTCTCGTCTCTCTCTCTCTCTCTGTTAACTGCATTCCTTTGCTTCTCCTATTTTTTCTTGGAGTTATGTGTGGTGTGTGTGTGTGTGTGTGTGTGGTGTGTGTGTGTGTGTGTGTGTGTGTGTGTGTGTGTGTGTGTGT